GGGCCAGTGATGTTAATTTTGAAATATTTGTCAAAATATGGGATTTGCAGGCAAAAATGGTTTAAATTTGATCTTGACTTCTTTAATATATTTTCATTCTTTGGAAAAGTTTGTTGAGGAAATGTGTAAAACTTAGTCTAAAAATATAAATTAAGACCAATATTAAATATTTTAGCAATAACAAAACGGAAAATATTCTCCGAGTAAAAGTATGTGAGGCTAAATTTTCATTACATTAAATTTTATAAATGTGCAAATTAGTAGAATTTTCTATTTTTTCTCATCATTTATTTCCCAGACCCATAACAGTCAACAGCTGAAAAGTTGGGCAGCTGCCAGGGATGGGGCCCTGACTAAGCTCCCTCTATAACAATACATAATAATAATAATCCCTACAGCACCACTCAGGGTGCTTTATTACATGTATTTAAATACAAAGTCACACATAATTTTACATCTAATACATATTATAAATCAAATAATATACGTATATATAAATATGGAATCAGTTTTGGTGAAAATGTGACAATAAAATGTAAATATATAACTAGGAAAACATCATTGTATTATTATATAAATCTGCACTTAGGAAAACAGGTAACAGTTAATCAAAGTCTGTAAGCATATCTAATGCTAATTTTAAATTTCTGCTGAATTTACTCTGATTATTTCTTAAGAGTTGAAAGATTGATTTCATTTCTTTCTTGAAATCACTCAAGAGTGCTGAATTTGAAATTTTTTTTATTTTCTTACTTAATGCTGCTTCTTGTTTCCCATATTGACCACTTGTATATATAAATCAAGGTGTTAATACATATTCGAACATTTTTTGGTTCTCCTGCGAATTCCAATAAAACAATACATACATCAACTTTGACTGGAATTACTGCAGAGATTTTTAACATTATATTTTGTACCAATTCTAAAAGTAGTTTCACATGTTTACATTCATAAAATGGATGTTTCTGACTTTCAATATTTGATTTACAGAAAAAAAACATTCTTCAGTGTATAAGATGTTATGCAAGCATTTTCATTAAAATTCTTGAATCTTTTGTTTTAACCTTACTTCATAAATTTTTGTTTAATACTCTTTGTATATCTTTGAGCTTTATATCTTCAAAATATATGAACTTGTTTGATTTTCTTACAAATACAAAATTATCACTCATCACGAAAAAAAATTATTTATTTCATTATCTATTCAATTTACAGTATTTCTCCCTTCTAGAATGTCAAGATAGGTTTTAGGTATAGCGGTTTAGAATTTTCTGCTAAATATACTCCACCCAAAAGAAATAGTCCCTCATAAATCTTGCTTCTTTGTACATTTTTGAGCAGATTTTTCATTGAATGTTAAAAAATTTACATTGTTGAATTTAAATATGTTATAAAAATTTAATTTTAATAAGTAGTTTTGAAGTAAAAGCTTCTGCGTGAACTTTTCTAAAAAGCTGACGAGTGACGTACCTTAACAATGGTAATTTCTATTCCTACGTCGATACGATGTATCATGGTGAGCTTGAAATAAAAGATACCAAAAATTCTGACACATCTGTTTCATATTTGAATATTTTACTTAAAAAAACATTAATGGTAATATAACAACCAAGTTCTATGATAAAGTTGATCATTTTAACTATTTCATTGTCAATTTACCTTACTTATACAACAATATACCTTCATTACCAGCATACGGAGCTAATATACCTCAGTTGATTCGATACACAAGAGCATGTTCTACGTTTGAACAATTTTTAAAACCAGGTAAACCCTAACCTTAAAACAAGAATACCAGCAGTCTCGTTTAAAGTCACCATTTCGTAAGTTCTATGGTCGATACAATGACCTTGTCAGCAAATAGAATATTTCATAGTCAAATACTCACTGATGATTTTAGTTCAAATTGTTAGTCCATTATTTATACAATGAATTGTAGACTCATATTTCCGTTATGTCCCGATCATGACATGGATCTTATGGCGGATGTGACCGGTCAGCAGGGGGATGCTCACTCTTCAATGGCACCTGATCCCACCTCTGATGCTTCAGAGGTCCGTGTTTGCTCTGCTCCTATTTTTTTTTATTGTTTTATGGACTTCTGATTTTGAATACTATACGTTACATCCATACGATTTATCTTTGTAATGAATTCTTTTAAGATTCGATAAGAAAACACAGTATAATCAGAATAAGCAAACAAATTTATTAACCAAAATATGAAGCAAATAAGTAAAAAGAAATTCTGACACCCACTCTCTCTCACACCAACTCGCTCAGTAACTGGAATAAATATAAACAATTAACTCAGTCCTTACCGATTTCGATGCTTCACATAATAAAGTTTAAAATTACATGTCATTATGATGATTCAACAAGTATCAGATTTGAAATCAAATGAGCAATTCACCAAATGTTGTCTTTTGAATTTATATTTCGAAAAAGCTCAATTGAATTTGAATAAGGGTGAAATGTGTAGTCAAATTTAAATGCGTTTTTCCATTTACCACTGAAGGTTATTCAAAGTTGCATTTTTACAAACTAATGTCAAGCATACATGTTCTGAAAATCACACCACTGCACTCTCGCCATATTACTACAGCTACGTCCTTCAAAGTTCCCTAATCCTGAAATGGTAGTTTCGTAACTGCAGAGCGCCGGGTCTTAGCTTCACACTCCGTTTATCCTTCTGCACCATTCACAGTTTGACATTTGGACATGACCCACGTGATCACCATACAAACGCGTCAATAACCCTGAAATTTCTAGCACTGTCAACTGACTTTCAGCACGTCCATTAATCTAAAAATTATTTCAAAGCGTTTGAAATCTGAAATATATAACAACAAACTAACTATATACATTATTTGAACATGCTTAACGACTAGAAAGGCATAAATATGCTGCAAGAATCCGCCTGACATGTTTTATGGGTACTGGTTTACATTCGGTGCTTTATCTCACCGAAAATATTCGCAACTTGTATAAATCAGGCAGGGGAACAACAAAAAAACGTAGTACACTTCAGGCCGGTCATGCTTCCAGACACGGTGCTTCGACCACTATAAAAACCAGGACTCTTAACCAAATAGTCCCCGACTATGCTTCCTCTATAGCAATCGGATGAAACACAATAAAGGGAACAGTAAGGTTGCACTTGGGGGTAGAAAAAAATGATGTCTTTATTTCGCCCCAATATTTTTTCTAAACAGTAGAGTATCTAAGGGATCTGAAACATAAACGGTTTTATGAAATTCACATTAAAACTTTGTTTTTAACAAGCTGATAATAACCTCATTTTCACAGATTTCAGACACTACCAGTGTTGTTTTCTTTGAAATAAATATTGAAATTTTTTCAACTGCTCAAAAACAAACAATACATAAAAATACTACAAAAGTTGGATTAAAAAAGGTGGCATTATACTTAAAAATAAAAAAAACAGTTCTTACTTCGTACATTTTTGTTTAAAATGGTAGAATTTCAATTTATGTAAACTCTTTAAGCCAATATAAATAAAGAAAAAACTATCTATAAATAATATTTTTTATGCCTTTGTTGAAATATAAATACTTCCATTAAAATAGGAAATTTCATTTTTAAAAAAATTTCTAAAATAATTTGATAGCTTCAGTAAGTTACGGACACTACAAGACCCATATATTTATGATTGGCTTTTGGTTTGTGGTAAAAAAAAAACATTTCATAAACTTCTGAACTATTAGAAATCAGATTTAAATGATTATTAAAAGCAAAGTGCATGGAAATTAGATATTGTTTCAGTGAAAACAATTTTAAAACTAATGGCAATAGGAAAAAATCCAGTTTCGGAAATCCTAAAACTTACTTTATTCACATAACTACCCGGTTATTTATTAGGCGGTATATAACTGTAGTGCAGGAGAAAAAGTTCTCTAATTTATCAAAGTTTTAAGAAAACTTTTTAGAATGTAGGTACACTGATCAATGAAGTCATTTAATCAAATTTAAGGGTTTCAGACACTACACAATACTTTCATTTTTCACAGGCTTGAGGATGAAGTTTATGTTTTTCAGCCCTTTTCCTAACCTTTTTACAAAACGTCATTTCTCGTTTCAGTTTCTCCCGATTTCTTTTATTCTTCAGATCTCAACTTCATCTGATAAAAGCATGCCATAACCAATATACTTTGAATAAATATATACACGCGTAACTTTATACAGGTGTTATGTGCAAGTAGAAAAGTCAAATCTTGAAGAATAAAGCTCACTAATATTTATTTGTTTTAATCTGTGAAGCATTCTATTTTTCTTCAAGCAGTTGAATATACAATACTTTATCTGAAATTGGTGTAATTTTAGTTTTCTTTTAAAAATTTTTTTGTAGTGTCCGTCACTAAATTACTTCCCCACTGTTTAACGTTTGAATACAAATTTACTTCCATTTAACACATCTTAAGATATTACCTAATAAGCAGCTAGACAATTGAAGCAATATCTCATAAGAAATATGGGTTATGTAACTTGTGATAATAATTTTTATTATAACAATTTGGTATTCTTAATACGCCCTATATTGTGTTTCACCCGAATACGAAATATTAAGCCTTACGGCCTCTCAGAGTGCTTTATTTTTAAATACAAAGTCACACATAATAATTCGTCCATTACAATGAACAGGTAAACTAATTAAGTTTTATTGCATATAAAAAAATATAATATACATATTTTGTCTGAAAATTTATTTCTCAAAAACTTAAAAAATTTTGAATTGGAATTTCCCAAAACTCAAAAAGAAATTCTAAAATAAATGAGGAAGACTTTTTCCCAATTTTATTAAAATTTGATGTAAGGTCCACACGCATACTCGGTACACTAACATCTAACAGCATCCCATAGAGGGTCACATCACAGGTCAAATTCTATAAACCGATAAAGTCGTTGCCTGCAAAATTATCGTAAATTTTTTGAAGCAAATAAGTCTAGAGTTGTTCTGAATTTGATGTCTGACGTGAACCATTATGGAAAGTTGTAAGATAATAGTGTAGCAAGTAGGTGAGAGATCCTATCATCTAATTTTATTAGATTGAGCCTTTTCAACTTTCTTAAAGGAAGAAAAAAATATTGTAATATTTTAGAAGTTAAGAACAAACACAGACCTCTTGAAAAAGAAGAAGGGGTCAGTTTATGAAAAAATACCCTTGACAACCAAATTGATAATCATCCAATCCAAGAACACTTGTCATTTTTATGTTTTTTTTTTAAATTGACTCTTATTGTTAACACTTATTTCGTTTTATAAACAACAAGTTTTCGTAGTACGTCAATTCTTTTTGAGATATGTAACGACTAAAGTCAAGTTCTTATTTACAGTTCTTTATTTTTATCAAACATCAAATGAGTTACAAACAAAATAATATATTCACACATTACCAATAGAACATAATAATTTTTCAATCGAACACATCCTAACCAAAATATGGAGATGCCACAACCCGTCACTCATTCGTACTTTTACTGCGCGTGTGGTCTCTACATTTGTATAAACACGATACCGGTATTTATTGTATTCACATTAAAAAAAATATAATATTTAGTATAATTCAAGTTTAATAAAACACAAGATTAACAAACATTCTCACCATAACACGCATAACTATTGAACATGTTCTTTTGACATACAAAATTTCAACTGTTACAGATACATTACTGCTCGTCATTTTTCATTTCACAATCGATTTGGTGCATACTTTAAATGTCTTTAATTTAACTTATTTCATGTTTTACCTTCTCCTATCTTTGTTCGTTTTACATCGATTTGAATTTCATGGTCAATAAACTTATCCCTAAAAAAACGGAGGTATCCTTTTACTTTTTCAAAATATGATGACAGTATTTTCATAGGCTTATCATTGGTGAAAATATCTTTGACTGGAAACAAAGAAACATTGAAACTGTTGCAATGCTTTCCACATTTATAGTATTAAAATTGCTAAGTTTAAGGTTCCTCGAATTCGTCATCAAATTTGATCTTGCTTTCAGATGCTGATGAATTCGAAGAACTCGAAGATGAAGTTCGAATAGTATTATTAGGGAAAACAGGAAGTGGAAAAAGTGCAACTGGAAATAGTATTCTTGGAATAGATTCTCGATTTAAAGTGTCTTCATCAGCGTCATCAGTTACTCTTAGATGCAAAAGAGGTGTAGCAACACGATTCAAAAAAGATATTTATGTTATTGATACACCTGGCTTGTTTGATACTAAGTCATCTAATAGTGATGTACAAAAAGAAATAGTAAGATGTATATCATTAACAACTCCAGGACCACATGCTTTTATACTAGTCCTTGGTTCAACAAGATTTACGAAAGAAGAATATGACGCTGTTACACATTTTGTTGACCACTTTGGTGAACGAATATTTGACTATTTTATAATACTTTTCACCAGAAAAGATGACTGGAATCACGACAATAAAACGTTAGAAGATCATTTAAAGAGTATACCCTCTAACCTTAAAGAAATTGTTGAGAAATGTGGAAACCGATGTCTAGCCTTCAACAATAGGGCTAGAGGCAAAACTCAAGACCTTCAACTTAGAAGTTTGTTAAAGATGATTAAAGGAATCTTTCAGAAAAATGGTCAAAAATATTACACAAACGAAATATATGAAGAAGCAACACGCCTTATGGAGCAAAGAGAAAAGGAAATAAAAAAAGATTTAGAAATGAAGAGGCAAGAAGAGATTAAAAAGATAAGAGAAGAAATAGAAATAAGATATCAAGAAAGAAACAAAATATATGAGGAGAAGTTGAATGGCATGACAGCAAAAAACCAGCTCATGATATTAGATCTTACAGCTAAAAATCAAAAAGTTGAGAGTCTTACGAGTTCTATCTCTTCCTTAACCGAAAAACTAAGAAAACAGAGAGAAGATGATGGAAAAACCAAAGAAGAATTATTGGATAACATAAAAGAGAAAATAAAAGAAATGTCGAATGTAAAAAACACATTACAAAATATTCAATCAAAACTAGAAACAAGCGAAAAAGAAAAAAAAGGATTAGAGGATGAAATAAAGAAAATTTTAAAAGAAAAGGAAGAGAAAGAAAAGCAACTAAATGACTACAAAAAGGCAGACAATTATAAAAAAGCAAAAGAACAGGCAAGGGAAGAAAAAGAAAAAGAAATGTTCTTTATGAGGCGAGGTTGGCGTGCATTCAGGCGATGGTTTGGAGAAATAAGTGACTAATTTCTTATGTTTAAATCATTTTTAAAAAAACAGAGGAATCCATTAATTCTGACAAATTTTACTATATCTATTATTCGAGGGTTGATCCAAAAGTAATGTCACAACATTGATAAAATTGCTATAAATGGACGTAAAGCAACAAAATTATATTTGATGGAAGCTTAATACATTTCAAATCAGACCTGATAGTTTCGAAGGAATATGATATATACTTTTCAAAATATTGGATTTTAAACAATGCGCGTTTATGGTAGTCGCCGCACCTAAATATAACGTCATATGACGGATACACACCGTCATACATTTCATCGTTTCTCCTTCGTTTCATTAAAAAAATATTTGAAATTCGGAAACAATATCACCAATTCCACATTCTCTAAGAATTCTTGGTACCAGTATACACTCACTCTTTTCATAATTAAGCCCATTGTCACAATTTTTGAACAGTAGCATAAGACAAACTTAAAAGTTCACATTTTACTCTATACGTCTGTCTTTTTTGACAACGTCAGACACCATTGAACGTTTCCGTCCGGTCTCCTATCTTTCGGTCTTCTTGTTCTCTGCTAATCATTCAGTGACCAATCACCCGCCCAAAATTGCACCATCTTTTAAGATGTCTCTTATTTACATTCTTTATTCTGTAAGTTTGATTGATTAAAGAAAATTTCGCTAGTGATGATTATCGTATTTTGTAGCACAGATGCATTACAACAACTCGTTGAGCCTTTTTCCCACCATTTCGACAATCCCTTTGTTCAATTCAACAGAGTAAAACAACAATGTTTATGATCACAAATACCAATGCCGTCATTTAATTATCAATTAAAGACCAGAAAATGACGAGAATTGTGTCTTTAACAAAATTGAGAGATTAGATGTTTTTTAAAAGTCTTTTTAATGTGTTTGTCTTTTTCATTCTAAGAAAAAATACACTTTAAAACGCGATGTTCCGTTGTGACTCGGCGACATCCCGTATGCTCCACGTTTTAAACATCTATAAAATAAATTAGAAAAAAACATTATTAAATTAAAATTTAACGAGGCCGAGTCTAATTTATTTCTACCCTAGGGATTTTGATAATTTTTTGATAATTAATTGTTACTGTTATATTTATTGTTTTAAAAAAAAAAACATCAAATGTTTACCACCCCGTTTTCTTAAGGGGGCACCTCAAAAGTTGTCAAATTTTACTATAGGACCCTTTGGGATTTACTTAAAAAAGGGCCAATTTTCATATTTTCCCTATTTTTTTAATATTTCTGCCCTAGGGATTTTTTTTTCAAATGAATATATGAAATTTCTAGTAAATGTCCACAAAATGATCAAATTAAAACGGAGAGTCACCATCTACTTTATTCCAGGGACCGTCTCAAAGTTCAATTTTTAAAAATTTTCTTCAGTTTTCGACAAATTTGATAATTATTTAAAAATATAATCATGGATTTAGGCAGCATTACTTACTTATTTTTTAAGAAAAAGGTAATGAGCAGTTTTACAGAAAAAAAAATCCTAAAAATATAGTTCAAAGGCAAAATTGTCACAGGGGCATGTTTCAAAGTTGTTAAACCTTCACCCCCCCCCCCACTCCCGTTTTTGCGGCCCTCTCTATCTACTAAATTTAGGCATTAGAGTAATAAACTTGGGTTTTTCAAGGACAATTCATGTCTCCTACTTTTAGCTTTATGATAGGTCTTTGTAAATAATTATAGAATTGGTCAGCTATTCATTTGCTTTTTGCATATAGTTCATTGTAATGAGAGCAAAAAGGGAGAAACATGGAGCAAGGTTTTCACATATTTTAACACGCAAGTAGATCCCCTCAGATAGTTAAAAATTTTACAATGAAATATAAATGATGTATCATAATTAATAATTTATTAATATTATGTACTATTTTCAGCAATAAATTCTCAAAATAAATTTAAGTTAGTCTATAAAATTGTCAGTCCACACAAGTCACCATGTCTTTAATTAAAACATGGGGGACCATCTAAAAATTCATTATTATATTCATGTTTTAACAAGGTTAATTGACAATTAATTGACAATTACAGGATTGCTGTTGTATAGATCCTTTTCACATTTGCTTTCTTTTTTTCTTCTGAAAGATGATACTTTATCTATAGCTTGTCAAGGAATTTTTGGTAGTTGATTAGTGCCCCCAACTGTAAATGCCCCCCCCCCTCCCCCGTAATTTGCTTCCCATGGATCTGTGTAAGCTGCATAACTTTGGTTAAATTTTATTTTAGTCTTTGCATGGTAATAAAGCTGCAGATTTTTAATGCAAATATGGTGTAACTTACATCCAAAGATTTCCAGTGCAAGGTTCCGAGGAATTTCTCCACGTTCCAGCATTTATAGTTAATCGACTACCTTTTTAAAATTCCTAATTCTAGGCATATTTTTTTTTCATCCTGTATGTTTTATAACCCTTCATAGCCGTCTTTATGGATAAATAAACTTGCATACCCAAATGTTGTTCTCCCAAATACATATGTAGTAGCATAAAAGGTTGAACAAATAACATTTTCTTTGGAAATAAGTTTAATGATGGAAGGGCTGTATGATAAAAGAATGGAAGACTGATATGACAAACACCGTATTATGCTGGCCATATTCGTGGTTGGTCACAGCAAATGGACCATTTTTCAGTCTTCTCATTTGTAGTTTTGTGCTTTCATCTACCAGATATTTTATACCCTTCACAAAAAAGATAAGAACACATTTCATTACATATAATTTCATTCTTTTCAGAATACTTCAGTAAGCTTAATCCATTCAACAATGAACAACAATATGAATTTAATTTAAGACATGAACACATAAAAGTAAAAACGGTCTTTGAATCAAGTTGAATATCTGATATACTTAGGCTTACAAAGTCAATATATGTATGAGACATGCAATTTAAAAATACCATTCCCAAACCCTTTACATATGCAAGCACAAGCAAGCTCTGATTTTGCAGCAGGCCAAGTTTACGAGTATTTTTCAACTACGCCAGTGACTTGCGATGTTACGAGTATGTTTCACCTGCGCCAGAGGATCGCATCCTGTTTTGCAAAATCACGTTATGTTTTGAATTATTCAATACTATTTATCACTACCACCCAAAAACAATGAAATTGAAGAGAAATCAGCAAAGCATGTCTTTTACAAAGATAACAAATATAGGTATAATAATTCAGTACAATAACACTAAACAAATTAAAACATCATAACATGTACATAACCAGAAGTCTCTGGACAGGAATGCAGCTATGTGGATGCGAACTATAGAAAATATTATCTTAGTATTTAGTCTTCTTGTGTACCAAAAAGTTCGACTAAAGTTCATCAATGCTTTTAAATAATTTCACTTAATCTATAGTTATAAAGTAGCACATTAAAACATCAATTGTCTATGATCAAAGACATGTATAGAATTAGGTATCATAAACAGTTTAAACAGTCATAAACAGTCTCACTGAAATTAGATCTAAAACTGTAGGAGGAGTAGAGTTTGAAACTTATTACAGACAGATGGACAATGGGCATCATATACTCATACTCTTCTGAAGATAAGGCTAAAATAATCATCACTACATCAGCAATCTTCGATCATTGAATTTTATAATACTCATGAGTAATGCATATTCTTGCCAGAAATTACCATTTGGACAAATATACTACACAACAATGACATGAAAAGAACTTACAAAGCATGTCACATCTGTATGATCTTAATCAAGTGAGTACAAAATGTTCACAATCCAAAGCACTTATGAAATCACACAGGATAACAAATACATGTGAACATAACTAACTTGAGAAAAAATCAGCAACCTTCTTTGAAACTCGGTAAGTATTGCTTACTCTAGCCTTCCCATCATTTGTCTTTTCACTAAATAAGAAAAATATACCATCAACACCTTCTCTCTGATATGCAAGCTTCAAATGACTGTATGTTAGTGATGAAGATTTAATCTTTTTCAGCATTGCTTTTGAGATAACATTTTCTTTCTGCAAATATTCTAAAGATTCTACAGATGGCTGAACACCATGAGAACTTACTTGCACCGTACTATAAAAAAAATCAGAAAGCAGAACATCAACCTTTTCACTCTTTTTTACAAGGGCTTGAAGCATTTTAGAGTCATCAAAGGCATTGTGAGCTGAGTGAGACTCACTCAATAATCTCTGAGCAACATACTCCTGCTTGTAACTTTCAAAAGATGGATACAAATATTTGAAAAATGGCAAGGTATCACAAAACCCAACAACATACTTGCAAAAGTGATTCCAAATCTTATAATATTTCAACTGATTATACAATATGATAGAATCAAAACATTTGTTGTTGTGAGCTACTAACACACAATTTTTGCCCAGTAACATCAAAAATTGTATAAAGTCCAAAAGGACTTGAAGTGGAAGACTATGGGGTACAGCTTCATTGTTGTGGTACAGCTCATTGGTTGTGGTATCAAAGTTAATTCCAGTGATTCTGCTGGCCTCCTCTGAAATTCCCTGGCTAGGTGTAATATACTTGTTAAAAACCTGGTCCTCACAAACAGCTTGATTCTCCTGGACTTAGTCCAAGCTTCTTATGAACCTAATGTAGATAACAAAATGACATAAAAATTATTTTTTATGAATAGAAACTACTTATTACATGTAAATGTAATTTGAGTAAAACAAGTAATTCACTGAAACTTTATGTACTTAAGTAAACCATTTCTTAATTAACAAATGTAGGAATACAATTTATATGTTTAAATACTGTATGTGTACTTATTAAAGAAGACTTGACATGACATATTGTAACAGCTTTTTACAGGGACATCAGTGATGCGCTAATTTATAAATACTGATAAGATTTCATCAAAAAATACAATAAATGGTGCGGACCTATATAGCTCTAATTAATGTTGAGGCACACAACTCCATACCGAGTGATTGCTCTATATTTTAAATATTAAACCAATTATGTTTATGTAAAGAGCATAGAATGGTAAACAATTTTAAAAAATACCGTAGAAACATATCCATATCCCTCATTTTTCTGGCACACAGCAGCTGATAACCGATGAGCCAAACTCCCTCCATCACTGTAATGTTTGTCTTTTGGGGCTTTAGATCTTAGTGTGTTGTTAAAACTTTCATTGCTGTTACTACTATCAAGCTTGCACAACTTCTCAGGGTCCAGGTTGTTGAAAACTGCTAACAGTGAGTGCTTTAAATTGACATCAGTGAGATCGACTCCCCAGGGTAAGTTTTTGTGCTTCCTGGTAGGATCCTTAGAAATAAAACACCAAGTCTTGCAATGGCTATGATCTCCAAACTGGTGTAACACAACTGACTGTAGTCGTTCCTTAATATAATCCTTGTTCCCCTTTGCCTGCGATATCATGTAACTAAAGCCTTTCATTAGAGCATTTATCGTTTTAACTGATAGTTCTTTATACTTTGGCTTCAGCTTGTAAAGTTGAGAAGAAATATTTTTCTTGACATGATTCTTGTCTGACACTTTCTCCATCGTGGAGCAAACTTCCTGTCTTGCTCTGTTAAACGCCGTTGTGTCATCATCCCCAATCAAAGTCGTCACCACAGCTTTTTTCTCCTTAGTGGATTTCAACATCTCTACAACCATGTCTGGCTCCATTGCTTTTGCAGAGGCTCTCCAGTTCTTTCTACATCTATGCTGTCTTGGTTGTCTCTTTTGCACCTTTGCCATGTCGCAAATCCTGCATCTTTTGTAACGAGCGGTGTAGGCTATTACTTTTCCTGTTCTCTTACCGATGAGAGAAGCAGCACCTAAATAAGTTGAAATACAGGTCTTTAAAACTATTTTTTTTGTTAAATCACCCCTTCCCCCATTATGGACCCCTCTTTGATCCCTCAGAGATCAAGATCATGGTAAATGCCTATATGAATTCAATACATTTGCTTTTTCCCTTCCAGCTCCTTGGGGGTCGTACACATGCATATGGATTAAATTTACATACTGTAAAAGCAGAAATTTTCGTGGGGGATTAAATTTCGTTTATTTCGTTGTTAACAATTATCAACAAAATTAAATCCCTCACGAAATTTTATATGACTATATATTGAATAGGGTTTCTCTCAAACCAACGAAATAAACTGCCCACAAAACCATTTTTGATGACAAATCAACGAAATTTATTGAAAATAATAATATCAATTCATGTGCTTCAATTTTAGTCTTTATCCATTTTAAATTGACCTAAAATTGGCTCTTTTTGATTTTTTTAATGTATCTTACATGAGACTCTCTTTAACAACTTTGAGTGAACTCAAATATTTATTATTTTAAATATATGATAAATAGAAAATTACATTTTTAGCTCACCTGAGCCGAAGGCTCAAGTGAGCTTTTCTGATCACATTTTGTCCGTCGTCCGTCCGTCTGTCTAGCTGTCCGTCTGTCTTTCCATCTGTCCGTCTGTAAACTTTTCACATTTTCGACTTCTTCTCAAGAACAACTGGGCAATTCTAAGCCAATAAGTACCCTAGAATACTTAAATATAGTAACAAGTACTGTAGGTCACCGTGACCTATATATTGATCATCATTCTCCGAGAACCCAAGATGCATCAAATAACAAAATTTGATGATTTTAAACCAATAAGTACCCAAAACATCTAAATATAGCCATAAAATGACAAAAGTAGGTCACTGTGACCTACTTTTTGACGTACTTTTTGGTAGACATTCTCCAAAAACCCAAGATGCATCTACTGACAAAGTTTGATGATCATATGCCTTAAAGTGTCCAAAATATACCTCCAAATCAATTTGAAAACAAAAGCCCGTAAAATTTGAAAAGTAGGTCACTGTGACCTACTTTTGTATTAACATGATGTCAAGCCCTTAGATGCATAAACTTCCAAGATCTGATGATCCTAGTCTCTTTAGCAAACAAAAATCGTTTTTAATAAGTGAAAATTTTGGTCAACTTTGAAGTGACCTTGAGACCATGCCCTTTGCCCAGGGTCATGCCTTGAACAATTTTTAATCTTCAACATATCCCAATCCTTGTTTGTAAGTTTGGGGAAAATCTGCCAGGTGGTTCTGGAGAAGAAGATTTTTTTAGCAACCAGTACTTTTGGTTTTATTTTCATGATTATCTCCCCTTCTTTTAGGGTGCCAACCCTAATTTTAGTATAAATGGTAGTCCTTGGGCCAAGGATACCCTGTGACAAATTTGACAATAATTGGCTAAGGTGTTCTTGAGTAATGGCCCATATTCTAAAAAGTTAACGCACACCGCACAAATGGCCATAGTATTAGCTCTTTGAGCCTTTGGCTCAGAAGAGCTAAAAAACACATCTCGTTGGATAAAATTCATATCCAACTACAAATGAGAGATCCTATATACATTAATCTACACATAAAATGATTCTCATGGCCAGGTGAGCTTAATTTCAGTTTGAAATCTCACCTGAAAGACTATTGTGGCATCTCCCTGATCCACGTCTTTGGTATGTTCCATCTGCTGATGCTGTTATTTCATGATAATCTGCAAATTTACAAAACATTGTACATGTATGTAAAGCAGTGAATGATGTTAACTTAATTACCAGTGGATGTATAAATAATTACCATTTATCTAACTAAAATAATATACAGGTACATGTACATGTTGGCTTTTGAATAATACATGCTTTGGTATATTGGATGATGAAAGAGTGTACTCATGACAGAAGGAAATCTTACCAGTTCTTGATTTTGTTGACTTTTCCACTGGTAAAGTAGCTGTTTCTGGAAATTCACCTAAAAAGTAATTCATTTTATATATTATGGTGATATTACAACCTAACTGCAGAACTGTAGCTCCCCGAAAAATATATATTGATAGATTGGAGAGGTAGAGTTCCACCTCGTGAAAAAAAATGTATATTCATTGCGCACAAATAAGTGTGCTGTTTTTCAATTTATTTCTCCATGCTTTAAAAACTGTCATTTCAAAATATTACTATAAAATATAAACTGTGTGTTCCTTACAGAATTTTAAACTGTTTCCAACTAAACATTCCTTATAATTGTTTTTGATAGCCCTCCTGGTCCTGAAATACAGATCATTGAAAATTTTGCCTATTTATACTGCCATTTTGGTTTGTAAGATATTGGGTCCAACGCGCTTCGTACAAATGTTAACTACAAAAGTAATTGATAGAGGAGTAAAGATTTTATTCAAATCTAGCTTTTTTGCAATTGAGGTAAGAATTTTGAAGAATTAATCCAGAAATAGCGCACTTTTTTGTGCGCAATAAATATACAGTTTTTTCAATGGGTACTGGCACTGTAGCTCTCAGTGGTCTATCAATATATATCTTTTCAGAGAGCTACAGTTCTGCAGCTACATGTAATTACAACCCAGAAGATGTGTTTATGAAACACTCTATGCCCCCGACTGAAACACAATTCTTGAATGGGATGTAGAATAAAGTGGTATACACTTGCCCTTGACATTGAATAGTTATGAGTTATAGGTTAAAGTTGAAACAGACAGACAGACATTGTGGCCCCACCCTATACCTGGGGGTCAGGATTTGAACAAACCTGATTTTCTGTGTCGAGTTTGGATAAGAAAATGAATTTCATTGTGAAAAGTTTTCAATGACAACAACCGCAAACAACAGCTACCAAGTCAATTTTTGATCAGAAAAGCTCACTCTGGCCTTCAGCTAAGTTGAGCTAAATACATTCTTCATCTGTTAAGTAATTACCTTGGGCAGGAGCACCAATGTTGACAGTTTGATCAGGACTGGCTGTTACTGAAATTCCAGTGGATTGATCAGCACACATCAAAAGTGGTGAAACTACAATATGTTTGATAAAGTTAGAATATGTAATTTGAAATTGCAAAAAAGACCAATAAAGAAAAGATGAGCAATTCTAATATACTCCCCGTCAATGAAAACGCAACACCCTATTTTTAGGGTGAAAATTATTTACGGGTCATAACTATGTACCAAAAAAATTAAGACATCTTTTACTTTGCCAAATCAGTTATTTAACGGTTGAATTAATTTCTTTCCATTAACGGAAGTTGCTTTTTAGCCAACTTAACAGAATTCAAAATTTTGCATTTTTAATAAAATTTTAACAATATTTTGGGTTTTCAAAGTTTTGAAGCTGTTAACCATAAGTATTGTACGAAAAGGCCGGGATAAAATCCTGCTTTCTATACCGAAACAATTGTAATGTGATGCCTATATTTCCTCAAAATGACTGAAATCAAGAAGGGGGGATGTTTTAAGAGTTATGTGTTACCTTCTAAAGTTTAATGATAGCATAAAAAAATAATATATATCTTTAAAAAGTAAATTTTCAAAACATGAATACTCAATTTAAACATTGAATGTTTTTTTTAATCTTAGAAAGAAACAAATACCAGGTAAATCTTAAAACATCCCCCCTTCCGACCATTTAATTAAAACGTGCTAGTCCGCCATATACAACAAGTTCAGCCAGATTTCTACCAAGCATTAGGTTTATAGACATCTTAATCTGAGCGAAATTAATATTCTTGGGCATTTTTAAAAGCATGTTTTTTCCGATACTGCGGTCGAATTTTCTCTAACTTGGCGTAGTGTAGCAACTTTTGGACTTCCGGTCAAGAAACTTTCATTTATGCTATTGAAACACATACGCCTAATGAGTAATTATATAGTGTACATTTGCATCTGCACTCTTTTTTTCTTTATTTTGAGAATTTTTAGCATTAGCAATGAAAATCAATCATTTTGAGGAAATATAGGCATCACTTCCGGTGAAGAAAGAAGAATTTTTTCCCCGGCGTTTTAGTACAAGACTTATGATTAACAGCTACAAAACCTCGAAAACCCAAAATATTGTTAAATTTTTTATTCAAAATGCAAAATTTTGATTTCTGTTAAGAGGGCTAGAAAGCAACTTCCGGTAGTGGAAAGAAATTCATTCAATCGTTAAATAATTGATTTGGCAAAGTAAAAGTTGACCTAACTTTTTGGTACATAGTTATAACTCGAATATAATTTTCAACCTAAAAATAGGGTGTTGCGTTTCCATTGACGGTGAGTATATAATGTTTTTAAACTGCTGGTTCAAAGAAAAGTTTATAATTAAATTTTGTCTATATTCTAGCCATTGATTGGTTAATATCCAAAAACGAATGCAAATTATTTCTGTATAATCTGGTTTGGTATGAGGACACATCCCATTGTCAACCAGCTGAATCATTTGTATCCATGCAATCTTCTCATTTCCAGTCCTCAGGATTCATGGAAAATTCCTCATTTATTAAATGTAGTTTTAATTTTAAACAGTAACTTGGTCTTAACACATGTAAACAAACACCATGGCTGCAAAGTCTAGGTATCAGTTATTACCTCCCCTTGCTCCCCATTGCTTCCATTATCAACATTTAAATCATTGAGCACCTAATTTGAACTCATAAAAAGCAACACTATTTTACACCCATATATACATGTAGTTGTTCAATGATTTTAAAATTAAATTATAAGAAAAGAATAAAATTTGTGGCCAAATTATTCGACTTTAACCTGGTTTGGATTGGTTTACTCTTTTTTATAATCTGCTTTGCAAATCATAAAGCATAAAGTGACCCTAACCAGGTTATACTCGAAGTAGTTGGCAAAGAATTTTGGGTCATTCCTTAAATGTAGAACCATTTGATCTACATATGAACTTCATATTTTTACCGTGCATTTATTAGGACTATGCAATCATATTTAAAAGATATTTGAGTATACATGTACTGCAGAACAATGACAAAAATATTGTATATGGTATTGCAAAACATATCTGTAGTATGAGGGTTCTACTAACTGCAGATCTGTACCTCTCTAGTCTAAGAAATAAAATATTGGGCTGGACGAGCAGATACATCTTTCATTATGTTTTCACTATTTTGAAATTAAGTCCTCTTGGTAGAGGGTGTGGCCCTAATTTGAACAAACTTGAATCCACGTTATCCAAGGATACTCTGTCAGTCTGTACCAAGTTTAGATATAAGAAAATAAATTTCACTGTGAAAAGTTTTCAATGACAACAACCACACACAACAGTCAATTTTTGATCAGAAAAAGCTAAATACATTCTTCATCTGTTAAGTAATTACCTTGGGCAGGAGCACCAATGTTGACAGTTTGATCAGGACTGGCTGTTACTGAAATTCCAGTGGATTGATCAGCACACATCAAAAGTGGTGAAACTACAATATGTTTGATAAAGTTAGAATATGTAATTTGAAATTGCAAAAAAGACCAATAAAGAAAAGATGAGCAATTCTAATATAATGTTCAAACTGCAGATTTAACTGTGTTCCTAGCATATATTTTTTTTACTAATTCCACAACAAAACATTTCCAAAAACTGTTTTTTATAGCCCTTCTGTGCCTGAAATTTTGTATAAAAACATATTGTTCAGTCAACCTTTTGGGCTCTTTGATATCATAACATAACCATTTACCAACTTGATTTAGATTCTGATGAAAGTTGCAACATGTTCAGTTTGGTAACCAGTCATATATAAATGATTTGCTATGCATGATAGAAATTGAAGTATCTCTTACAATACCTTCAGTTGACAATTCAACTTCTCTTTGGAGGGCTTTATCAGTTGACTCACAAGCCAACCTCTCAAGTGTAGAGCCAACTTCCTCACATCTCCTCTGTACTGTCTTGGATGCAGGCATTGGAAGATTTAACACTGACAAAAAGTTGTTTATCTGAGTTAGCCCAATTCCAATATGGTACATTGCTGTTAAATGAAAACAACTTTCTTGTGGTAATTGTAATAACTTAAATTTACTTTAATTACATATATTTCCTCATTGTTTTTTATTATTTAAAAGAAGGAAAATAATACAGGGTACTATCAAGTATTTGTTGAAAGTGAAATTCAAAAACTTGAAGTTTAAAATTCATTTTTTTCACCTTGATTTTTAACCTATATATTATTTTGTGAGAGCAATGCAAAAGATAGGAAATAACCAAAACAATGAGATACTTGGATATATAGACTTATAAAATTACATATATTGTACACAAGGTTTTTTTGTCACATTAGGCTTACCTGTTGCAGCTTGGTGTTTACATCAAAAATCTTGGGTCCCGTATTGGTATCTCCTTTCCCACTATGTGTCTTGTCCATCGCCACACGTATAAACTCGGAACATGACCAGCATTTAACTATTTAATGGCCACTAACTCCCGCAGGCAAAACTCCCACCGCGTCCTCCAACAAAACATTTCTTGCACAAACTGTACATTTCATATTTGTACAGAAAGTATGTAAATCAATAACAAAACGTGATGAGTTCAATGGTTTCAATTTGCCAGAAAAAAAAAGTTCATTTATATCATCAAATGCATCTTGAGATAGTTTCCCAACATCGGGAGGCTGTAAAGTGCTCTGATAAGAATGGTCAAGGTATAAAGCGCTGCCAGCAGCTGGTGTAAAAGAGTCATTTTGCAAAGAAATGGATTTCTGTAAATTACTTATTCGTTTCCTGCGATGTTCCGTCATTGACTTCAAACGCCCCGTGCCATCTCGAGTACGAGTCATACTTGAAATTTTTACCGCTTCACCGTTCCCAGTCTTCTGCTAGGAACGTCAATACCGCAAACTGGTAGAGCTGTCATTTATGTCGTAAAATACATTCAGCGATAAAATTGAAATTCATCACTTGCATATAATATGTACTACTAATATGCGTTTCTATAATGTTAATTCTGGATTTAGAAAAATAAAAACTAAAGATTGATACTACCTCACACGAACGACTACATGAAAATGCAAAGCTGCGCGAAAACATGCGCAAAGCGCGAAAACTCGAATTAGACTCTGCCTCGTTAAGTGTTTATTAGATTTATATTTGTGCATCTGTTGGTATATTGTATTTGATATTATTATACTTTCATGTTAAATACTAAAATCTGATTGGTTTAGACGCAGGTAACAATCCGTTCGATTACCCTGAGCCTTAGCAACACACGTGACAACGGGTAACACAACGGTAATGCCACATGCGTGGAAATTATGCGCGTACGGTTCACCGTAGAATTCTCAAAACGTCAGTTGCGCGTTTGAAAGAACCGGAATTAACTTGAAGTCAATAAAAGCTTGCGTCCCATATAGCTTACTTGAAAACAACAAACGACAGACGATACATGCTTGCGAGTGTAGGAACATGCTTGCGAGCCAGAAATAACGAAACTTTATATGATAAATGACTCGAATTCGAGTATCACACAAACAATAAGGAGATTAGTGAACCTGTGAGTGTGAAAGCTTTCTATACATGAACGTAAAGACGATCGACGTTTTTTGTTTTTTTTTGCTGACGTCCTAAATCAATAAGACATTCAGTATAATAAAATAAATGGTGCCTGTTTTGTAGGGTAACATTTGAAATTGACACCCCAAGGAAAACCATTGTCAACCTCCGCTGACGCGTCGGTTGACAATGGTTTTCCTTGGGGTGTCAATTTCAAATGTTACCCTACAAAACAGGCACCATTTATATAATATGACGCCAAATATAAAAAATATGAACACTGTGACATTACTTTTGGACTCGTATTATTTTTGGAAATATTTATTTTAAAAAAATGCAGTGAATGGTTTGCGATAATATTTCACTAAAAAGTTATGTTTGTCGCATTTTTGTTAGTCCGTGCAACATCTTTTAAATACTGTATGATGCCTGTGAAGACCCCCGGTTAACAGATAATAGGTTCCTTATAATGCCCAAAACACCAAGTCCCTTTAATCAACGGTAAAACTTTCAAAATAAGAGCGGTTTTAGCGTTTTTTGTTAACCGAACAGTGAAATTAGTTATTAATTTTTCGACAACAACTTCAAGCAATACAACATTAATTTCCGTTTATACGGTCTTAGAAGAAGAACATGTGTACACGTCAAGCAGTGACATTTTACTCCTAAAGATTACCTTAGTGTCCTCAATTTCTGAAAGGAAGTGAGAGCTCTTCACTGTTACGTATTGACCGATAACAAATGTTTTTATTTCACTTTTACTTTTACTTCTTGTGAAATAAAGATTTTTAAATTATGTTTATCATATTGGCATTCATCTTCAGTATGACCCTCCTACTTTTCTTATGTTATTTTAATTTTTGTTTCTGAAAATTCCCTTTCTTTCTTGTTTTTTTTTGCCAAATAGCCCTATACCTACCACAGACTTAATGTGGTTCATTATTCAAAACATTGTAGTTGTAGAATTTGAAGATATATTGCAAAACAAAACAAAATATATTTATTTAAAGACAAAACAAAATAAGAAAATATCAAAACAAACGCGCGCTCACGCACCCTCTCTCACAAAGAAAACAAAATATACTGGTAAGTTAAATCGAAAACCAGATAATATTGACAATGAAATAAAGGATTTAACTCGAAACAAAAACTATAGCCAATAAATAAAATGCTGGACTTCACAAATCAGTTGTAATTATAAGAGGAAACTAACAAATAGAAAGTTCAGCACTGTAGATTTTTCACAGAAAAAATAACTTTTAGTTAAATAATAACTGTAAATCTGAAATCCGTTGAAACTAAATAAACTTTTCAATGCTTAATTTCTTTAAAACTGAATAGGAAATTTTGCTATTCAACTTCGTAGAAAAACAGTTACATCAACCATAACACCACTGGGCCTCCATACTACCAACACTGCGTCCCTCTAGTTCCAGTCCTGGACTCACAGGTCTCCCACTGGATAGCACTAAAATTCACTCCCCTCTATACTACCATAACTGTCACCAACTCCACTACACACACGCTGTCCGTGTACACTACGACCTTTGTCGTCAACTTGTTTTGGCCCCCGTCTCAACCAATGACTCAAATGCCCTCCAGAGGTCCTATAACCCACTTTAGCCCCGGGTTTATACTTACAAACCCTTCGCACTGAAACAATAATTTCTCTATCTAAAACCCCTACACAACTCACAACTTTACTACAAAACACACAAAATATTTACAAAAGTAAAAAGCTTACCGACTGGAGAAATGCACATGAAGTAAATTACAGACTTTTTGGTTACCCGTTTACCAGACTAACTTCTGGAATTCGCCATGAAACTTCAACTACACGACAAAATCAAAACGTGGCCGTACTCTTGATTAACAGTCACGGCTCTCCCTGATCAAACCGACTAAATATAGTCCTGTTTGCAAACACTGTTTCACTCTATGGAAACAAACTTGGGATATAATTACAACTGTTTACACATAAAATAACAAATCAAATACAGAAGATAACTCAACTTCATCACAGTTGTTCAATAGCTTCGATGTGAACTGTCCTAGTAACAAATCAAATAACAATATAAACCATCTTTCTAACTTGAACTTCCATCCCTAATTCGACACTACACAACAGGCCAGGGGTCAAAATTGCCGACAGGTACCTAAGAAAATGGAAGACATGGTCTACATCGATCATCCGGACGATGTGTCTTATGCTGTCATCTTGGTTGTCCACAAACTTACGACACACAATGTAGCTCTTTATAACTAAAGTAGTCATCCGTCTTGAACCAATTACCCAGAATTCATGGGAACGTACAGTTTTCTTCCTGAATTGTCTTCCTTGTAGAAATATCCTCTGGTTGATGTGACGAATGATAAGTTAACTTACATGATGGTTTTTAGAGTTGCGCATGTCCTGTGATCATTTAGTACATCAACAGACAGGTTGTTTAATCGTCCATTAACGTGTAGCAGAACTTCTGCTCCAATTCTTAGGCATAAAAGAATGATTGCACTAGAATGCAGAATGTCTATACCATCCTCTATACACTGATCTTTGGCACTGAACACGTTTCGCTAAGCAGATGTAAAGATAGAACGGTCACAATCTTTTAAGAGTTCTGGGTCACTGGGACCACCAGGTTAGTTGTCTTTGTATTTTTAAACTGTCTAGTCCTGAACTTCAAGTTGGCAACTGCACGTACGAGCATGTCCCAATAACACAATCTTTCAGAAAACACTTCAGTCTGACCAGTTGAAGGTTTTGCCTCATGTGTTGACTGTCTTCTTGGAGGTTACATCTGGGCGATTTTCGGTACGATGCTCTGAATCCATTTATTCAAAGTTCTCAGTTGGAGTGCTGAGCCAAGTGTGTGGTCTACAAATACAACTTTAATGGTGAAGAGTAGAAGGATGTACATGCCTGGAAGCAGCATCACTGGATTAAGCTAGGACTGAACATATCTCCATTTTACTATTACTATAAAAGAATAGAATGTGTGCCACTCTTAGCACAATATAAACATGAAACCTGTGACTTTCATTCGCGATATAGCCAAATACTATTCGACTGTCTATGAAGAAACTGAAGTCCTATGGTGGAATGTTCAGCTGATCTCTCACAAACTCTGCAAATTCTAGCTGATACCGCTGCACACAACTCAAGTTGTGGAAGAGTATGCCAATGAACCGACCAATCTTGGCCTTTCCAAGCAGGAAGCCGGTATTAAAAGTGTTATTGTCATGGCCGTAATGAAGTCTCTCTTCTCCAAAACATTGTCCCAACACGTGATATGCAGTAGCTATTATACGTGTTCATAAATTAGCGTATTCAAAATTTGGTGCAATCATTTTTTTTAGTTGTTTGCGTATTCTTGAATTAGCACTACACAATAACATGTCGTATATTGTCTTCATAAATAATTTCGTAGTGCAACGTTATCCATGTCAAAGTTGCTTAATTATGTAGCCCGATTTTTGAAGTACTCACATAATATCATAATTTGTTACTCTGGTTGTCTATCTTGAAATACATCTTGCGTTCACGACATTCGTCACTCAAAGAGTACACTAACACAAGTTGGATCTTCGCACAGGATTTGCTGGTGCTGTATTGAGTGCCACATACTTTTACACAGTATGTACTTAGCTGGAATTTCTCCCCGTCTTGTCTCACTCAAAATTGTTCCCCTTCGTGAATTACTCCAGGCCCAGTCTCGGTGTGAAGAATTGTAATATAATCCTAGAACCACAAGTGTCACATTTCACAGTTTCTATACAGATCTTCAGCAGATGAATCCTTAAAACACAGCACTTTAAACAATAACCATTCTTGTATAGGTAATCCTTACGCCCCTTGAATATTTTTTCGCGGAATGTCATACAGTCCTTTAGTGAATGACTAGAATTAGTTCCTTGAATAGAGGAACTCATATTAAAAATGTAAGAATTCAAATCTGTTATATCATCAGTATTCTTAGTAGACATAACTATATGACGATAAGAGTTTCGTAGTTCATTCTTGTTCCTCTGCTGAGCTGTCTATGAGTTTCCATGACTATCGTTAATAGAGGAAGTCGTGAACACCAGGCTGGGATCACTACACACTCGTGCGAGATCTCTAAGAAATTTCGTAAGCACTCAGAATGGTGCTTGGTAAACTTAATTGTTTATCTTGTATATATCACATTCTGAAACCCCTCTTTTCCCGAAATGGGTTTGGCAATTTGTGAACAAACTCATTGATATCATTGGACGTGTCATTGTATGAAAATAATTTGCCAAATACTGGAGCACATTTCACTGATGTCACTTTTGCCGCTAGATCAGAAAAGTCATGGAATTTCTTGCGAGCACCATCAGTGAGAGCCACAGAATTGTTTTGTTTTTTTTTGTACTACTTAAGTTACAGTTCGATAGTTTCTACACTCACATATGCACGGTATAAGCGTTCCCAGATTCCTCTAGGTTACGTGAATTTATCGCTTGAATATTCTCAGCTTGAATTCTAGATTCTGTTAGGAAATGATTCACTAACAGGTCAAAGTGCTCGAGTGTTTTGCACTGATTTCACATCTTGGTAACTAATTTTGCTTAGTCGGTAGCTTCAACTGAAATATTCTACGGGATAAAAGAAACAGCACTTAGCTTCACTTCATTTGTTTTATTGTATGGCGCACACAAAGGTTGTGGGGTTTGCCATACTTCCTGAGGGAGTTTGTTGTCAAACGCACGAAGGTTCACTTCAATTGAAACACCAGGAAGAGGGATGCGATCATTGTTGTTATCCTGCATGTAACGACGCACATGGAACGTCGATGACGAAAAACACAAAACGAAAGACCACCTTTAAGCAATCGCTTAATGGTAGCTTAATGGTGACTTAATGGTGCTTAAAGTTAACTCCCTTAAGCCACCATTAAGCCACCTTTTAGCCGAGCTTAATGGTGACTTAATGGTCAAACATCATTAAACTTAAACGCATCTTATTTCGAATCTTTGATCTAACTTAGTAAGTTAATAGTATTTCAATGTCATTTATGCAAAATCTATTGTGTGTGTGTGCGTGTGTGTGTGATCTATAATTTTGTCTTGTTCGTCATTTTTATATAACATTTCTTTCAACATGCAAAATCTCGGTCACTGAGAAAAAAGTTTTCTAATAGCCACAGGGGCTTGCTCCCGGTTTTTAATAAAAAAATTTTATCATTTACAGTATTAATAAAAAGACGTTTTAATTTATTACCGCACATGATTTTTTTAAAAAATAAATTATTATTACATACGTTGTTTTTATTATTAGTGTATAGGATTTTTGTTTTAAAAAATAGATAATAATATAATTACACACTGGGGAAAACCCCCTGTGAAATATCTTCATTTTTCACTACCAAAAATCAATTTGTTCTAAAAATTATCTTTATCCATGAACACAAAAATATATTACTTTTTTATTTAAAAGCTGGTATTTTTATTTCACGTGTTAATAGCAACATTCCGCTACAGAATTCACAGAAATAAAAAGTCATGTTCTCATGAAAAAAAATCTGTCTTTTTTTTGGAGGGGGTGAGGGGCTGGGGCTACAGGTATAAAAATGTTTAGTTTTGAAAGTTTGACTTTTACATCATGAATAATTTGTATTAATTCGAAATTTTTCTTATATAATGCAGCGGTAAGTATCTGTCAACATCTAGTCGGTCTTCAATGATTGTTATTTCAAAATCAATTTTCAGAAGAACAGCCGATCAGATTAAACATGACATCCAACCAGATTTATACACATTGGGAAACGGGTCAGATTAACAGTGTACACTATACCGACTGGTTAGACAATAGACCTTAATTAGGTGTCCACCGCCCCCGGTCAACAAACAGAAACTATACATACACAACGTACATCATCAGATTTTGATGATCAATTATTTTTAAAAAAATTAAATTTAATGCAAGCATATAACAAATTAAAAATAATGATTCATTGTAAAAGGACAATTATTTTGATACCCACTATGATACAAAAAGGATTCTAATTGAATACAATATTCTAAAGAACGTTTTGTTTTTGTAAAAATAACCAGTTAACTCGTACATGTTTACAAACGAGGATTGTCACTAGGCCTAAATTTTAGACACAAAAACCATTAATGTCCGCAGAATATTTACGATGAAATTTTCATTTTCTCGATGATAGATTTTTTTGTGTTTTATCTATAATTAATTTAATTTAAATCATGATTTAAGCTTACATGTATAAATCTCCTAATATTCTTTACAATTTAAAGCCGAACTCAACGGTTTAGAAATATTAATGTGCTATATGCCTTTTTAGAAAGATCCATAAGTAAAACTGTTTGTAGTTTGATTAATAAATTAATTCAAGACTTTGGAAACATTCAACAAAATGAATACTTTTATTAGTCCAAAACAATCTTTGTGCAAAATAAATGTTAAATATTTTCCTATAGACATAAGGAGCAGTGTTAGGCTAATGGTTAAGACAATGACCACCTCATCGAAAGGTCATGACTTCGCGCTTCGTGTGCTGTGATTTTTTTCTTTGTTTGGTTTTTTTTTTTAATTTCGTTCTTTTCCTTATTTTTACCAAATCAAGATATGTGTGAACTCGACATTTATATTTTGTGATGACAATTCGCTATCAATTTTTTACCGATAAAACCAGTAATATCGACAATGTAATGGTGGCTTGAATGGTGGCTTAATGATGGCTTAATGGTAGCTTAATGGTAGCTTAATGGCGTTTGAACATTAAGCACCTGTAAGTCTACCTTGATGTAGCTAAATGGTGACTTAATGGTTTTCTAAAAGCTACCATTAAGGACCTGTAAGCCATCCTTAAGCTACCATTTACCTACATTTAAGCACCCATTAAGGACTTTGAGCTGCATACTTCAAGCCAGCCTTCGGTTTCTCAACAATTGTAGAATGTTGCATCCAGACAGCGGTGAGGTGACTTGATCCTGATCTTCCCGATGCCTATCGCCAACTGAAAATGAGTCATTATACAATACATTGCATGTTGTAAAATATAATCATAATAAGGACATTGCATTGTTTTAGAAGCCAAATACCATAGAGCTACCACACCTTAGCTTAGACTACGCCAACCACATGGCTGGCATTTCCAGGTAAAACATAACCTGATCGAAAATTTAATATCCCGAAGTGAGAGCAGCACAGATATTGTTGATCACAACCTCGAGCATTTTTTAAATATTAACTTCAGAGTACTTTATTAGATTGATATTTTTTTTAATTTGCTTATGACAAATGACAAGGTATGTAAGTTTACAAGTTTTTTAAACCCCTCAAACGCAGCTGTCAGTGAATTAAAAAAGCCTGGACTATAATTTACGGTGGGAAATATTTGTATTTAACGTTGAAAACGTCGTAAGTTTTTAAGTTTTTTGGTTGGAATATTTAAGCATCAACGCATGATTCACACTTCTCGTTTATATTGTTGCACATTATTTTTTAAGTTTCTCCTTCACCACTGTTTTTATCTGTAAAGAAGCATGCTTAATTGATAAAACATTAACTGGAATCCTCTGTGTACCTTTGTTTGTAAGGATTTTAATAAATTTTCGTTTCTTATCAATTCTAAATTCACCGAGAAAACGTAAATTATTATTATAATTACCAATTGCATAAAGAAAAATCAAAGTACTGAAAGTATTCACGGGAGTTGAACATAGTGTAAAATAAAATATTTGATCGGGAGGTTAAGTGATTGAACAATATCATTATTTCAAATACAGACAACTGTTTCAGATTTTTTGTGTTGCAAGAATCTTGCGAAAGACATTCAGAGACATTGAATAGCAAAAAATGCATGGGCTATAATGCTTGCCTGGCTTCATTAGTCCTTTTTATACGCCCTGCTTGAAAAGCAGGAGGGTATTTATTAATCATGATGTCCGTCCATCTGTTTGTTACGTTACAGGTATACCCATCTCTTATCCACAACTCCTCTTACACCACTGAATGAAATTTTCATAGAATCTTTATTAAATATTGCCGTTGTGCACCTTCTATTACTTTTTCATCCTACACATATTTTGGGTTTCCCATTGCAAAAGATAGACACTGCCATTATATGAATTCATATTAAAGGCTGTTGATCATTTGTATAATTCACAGCTCACAGTACCTCTAGTTCATCTTCAACTTTGTAATATATTTTTCCTTGGCACCTTTACCCATGTGTTATGAAAATTTCAGTTTCACAGGAATGATATCAATGTTGATAAAATGTGGATTTTCACACAGCATCCTTTTAAGAACTAACAGGTTTGTTATATAAAACTTCTCTGTGAATGAAAATGTATTTCAATTACACGAAGTCAACATTATACTTGGAGTACGTCAGAAGTTATATATTTTTATTACTGTGAAGAAAAAAGCAATACCAAGTTAAAAACAAATATTTAAATACCAAACAAAAAAATAGTGGTATATGTGATGGTTTGTGTGCGTACAAATTATTAATTATTAGCAGATATGTAATTGAGGTTTTCCTTTCACTTAGAAAAAATATATATACAGTGAAAACTGTCTAATCCGACACCTGAATAATCCGACACACTGTGAATTCTGAAGTTAAAATTCTTTCCAATTTGAGCATTTTCCTTGTTTTTAACACTGTGGAAAACAAATATTTAAATACCAAACAAAAACATAATAAGTTTTATATAACAACATTATACTTGGAGTACGTCAGAAGTTATATATTTATATAACTGTGAAGAAAAAAAAAGCAATACCAAGTTAAAAACAAATATTTAAATACCAAACAAAAAAATAGTGGTATATGTGATGGTTTGTGTGCGTACAAATCATTAATTATTAGCAGATATGTAATTGAGGTTTTCCTTTCACTTAGAAAAAATATATATACAGTGAAAACTGTCTAATCCGACACCTGAAAAAGCCGACACACTGTGAATTCTGACGTTAAAATTCTTTCCAATTTGAGTATTTTCCTTGTTTTTAACACTGTGGAAAACAAATATTTAAATACCAAACAAAAACATAATAAGTTTTATATAACAACATTATACTTGGAGTACGTCAGAAGTTATATATTTTTATTTCTGTGTAGAAAAAAGCAATACCAAGTTAAAAACAAATATTTAAATACCAAACAAAAAAATAGTGGTATATGTGATGGTTTGTGTGCGTACAAATTATTAATTATTAGCAGATATGTAATTGAGATTTTCCTTTCATTTAGAAAAAATATATATACCGTGAAAACTGTCTAATCCGAACCTGAATAATCCGACACAAATAATAAATAATTCCTATGTTAAAATTCTTTCCAATTTGAGCATTTTCCTTGTATTTAACACTGTGCAATCTGACGCCCTGTGTATTCCCACACAAAATTTGTCTCCCAGTGCATGTCGGATTAGACAGGTTTCACTGTATGTATACTTCATTTTTTTGCTTTAAATCGCGATTCTACGAAAACATCGGTGTCCGTTTTTTGGTTTTTACATTTATAACAAAATACTAGATTTACCGCTTTTTGGCCAGTCAAACTGCTGATTTAGTAATAAATACGCATGTTTCCTAACCTTTTGTGCGTTAATGAATTCATTTAATCCAAGAAAATGTTAGTGAAAAGTTTTAATAAATTCTGTGCACCGAAGAAATTGCTAAAATTCTAAAATCCGGGACCGTCGGAAGTTGGGCGGACTAATTTACTGCTTGCTGTCAGTATGCAGAGTTGTCGTTTGTATCTCTTTCAGTGTTTATAGATGACGCTACACTAAAAATGAGTTCTAATACGTAAAACGTTTTAGGTACTTTATAATTTAGTATTTTTGAACGAAATGTAATATTCAAAATAAGTTTTCTTTATCATTACATTTACATACATTTTAAATTATAAAAAATTAGATCAATTCAGGAGAAACTGACATGAACTATTTGTGGCGGATGATTATGCATGTTTTCTGTATAATCGGAGTAAATCGGTCGACACAGTAGCCTCGCTTTCGGCTCTATGTAATCAACACAAATTATGGCGCATGTTAAATGCGTGATCACCAAGGGAGATTTAACATAGTTCAACTCCCAAAAAGTGACTGCGACAAAGGAGCGAACAAGCATCATGCGATCACATTACAGCTATTTATAGCAAAATAGACTTAATTAAAAATCTAACAGAACAACACTATGATGGGGTTTAATAAATTCTCTGAACTTCTACCTAATATATATTTTAAAACTTTTATTATGCCTACAAAGTCCTGCTATAATCTCATTGTTGAGTGGGTGAAAAAATTATTCCATACATTCGATTTAGACCTAATCCAATGTTTGGATTTTTTTTTCTCATATAACTCGAGATTTGACCTCAAATTATGCCTACCAATCGATTATGACAGCACTTTCCAAATAAATTAGAAGCGAAGTTTTCGATCTGTGCAAATCTTATGTTTAGAAATGCCTGCTTTGTTTTGTTCTTTCGCATTATTTTTGATAGGATTGACAGACTAGGACGACCGAGATACATGAATAGCTGAATGTCCCAAAAATGAAAAAAAAATTGCATTGTATTAGAAGTTAGATTATTAGATATTAATGAAATATTCAATAACATCCCTAAATATCTATATCATAAAAACATATGTTGTAAAATTGACGTAATTTCGCATTCTATGACGTTATCAGGTATCAATAGAGTCAAGCAGGAATATCTTATTGTTTTTAACACACCTGTGTAAACATTGAATTGTTGCAAGATTATCCTTTAAATTCGTCTTTATGGCACCTAATCCCTACTCTGATGCTTTAAAGGTCCGTGATAGCCCTGTTTCTAAATTGTTTTGTTAAATGGACTTCTGATCTTGTTTGCTATCTCAATAAATGCCATCATATCAAAATGTCTTTCTCAGAAAAAAGGCTATAAAATGAATATATTTTTGTGGATATAAAAGTGATACGTCATTGTTTATTTTTAAAACTCACGGAGGAAATGAAATCTAGAAATAAAATGATATGATACGAGGGGCATTTCAAAAGTCCTGAGAACTGTTTAATAAAAAATTAACCGTTTTAAAGAAATTATTGAGTTTGATATCATTGGAAAGATAAGAAAAATATACACATATTGTGACGTCACTTTATAATTTTTATGATGTAATATCTCCAAAAATGACGTCAGAATATAGAATGTTTAGCATACTGAAAACTCGCGTTTTTATCCACATGGCACAATTTTAAAAGTGCTGCCAAAGGCTTATTTGAAAATATATTTCAAAGAAAATTTTCAATTGCAAAGAAGTAGAGTAGGACTATAGTATACACTTATCCACTGGTTGTGAGTGGTATAGCTCTTTTATCAAACCTGCGACAGGGAACTATTCCCCGAGGGCTTGCCCGAGGGGAATAGTCCCTGTCAAGGGTTTGATAAAAGAGCTATCCCACTCACAAACAGTGGATAAGCGTTTTATTATACTGATGTATAATATAATTTTTGAGGTTAGAATTTTTTTGGAGTAAGATAATACTGCAAGAATAATCTGAAATCCTGATGACGTCACAGTGCTACTGAATTCATTATGACATCATCAGACAATAGATTTATCGCTGTAAATCAAAATTGGCGGCAAAAATTGCATGAAAATTTTCCGAGGGTGGATAGCAAAAACTATACCCCGGGGTATAGTTTTGCTATACGTAGACTGTAAAAGATAGTTATTTTACTTTCTGAACTTTATATAGGAAACATTTTAACAGAAGTATAATAATACTGTTTATCAACAATACTATATTTCATTGTTTGGTTTGTTAACTAGCGCGGTTTATGTCCGGTTATGCTATCATCGACATTCATCCAAGATTTCAAGTTACATGATTCGACTGGATTTTCGGTTTTTATATACTCCTCTATTGTATTAAATAAAACAATTTCTGTATAAAACTAAAGTATATTAATGCAGTTTTCAAGAAATATATTTTGAGTAACAGTACTCTTACCGTTTACAAATAAAATGTACAAAAGTTTTGGCCTTGACTTGGTTCTGTGCGTATTTTTCTCATTAATTCAACTTCGGCGCCCCAAAACTCAGTAATGCTTTTGACTTTTGACTCCATAAACGGTTTATAAATAACATAGACATGAAAAATCTTATTTAAATCCCATGAATTAATTTTCGTGAATATGTGGAGGTACGGCGGGGTTACAACTGCGCCCGCGCCATTTTAGATTTTACGAGAAAATACGGGGCACACTAAACTTAACTTCTCTTGAGCCTTCACCGATCCGACAAATATGGTTAAAACACTTGACGAATTGATGCCATAAAATGTAGTAACACGATCGTATATTTTTCTTTGATTGCCAACTTTGCCTTATTATCACAGTTGGGTCTGTTTTACGCAATATTTTGAGCAAGATTCGATAAAAACATTCGATGTTTGACAATTGCTTAAACCATCTCAGAACAAGAAGATCTCTGAAATAGACCACCATATGATAGATTGTAGTCTATGTAAAGATTCTACTAACTGTCATTTACGTCCGATAGCTTGCACCCGAGTAATGAGCAAAAGTTGTTTTTAAAATTTTACATTGATGAAATTGTGTCTTTTGTTACGTCATTTTTATGACCAGTATTGTAAGTATGCGGAAGTATGACGTCATTTTCGGGGTTATTACGTCATAAAAATTATAAAGTGACGTCACAATATGTGTGTATTTTTCTGTTCTTTCGAATGATATCAAACTCAATAATTTCCGTAAAATGGTTAATTTTTTATTAAACAGTTCTCAGGACTTTTGAAATGCCCCTCGTACTTTCATTTCTGTATTCCCAGAAATAATTTATTTATTTTTTACAGCCACAAAGGATGCAAACGAGAAAGATAAAGAAGGTTTCCTAAGATTAGTTTTACTTGGTAAGACAGGTGTTGGAAAGAGCACTACTGGGAATACAATTTTGGGAAAACAGCTTTTCCCATCTTCATCTTCTTCGTCCTCTACAAACGACGAATGTTCGACAAAAAGCGTATATAGGTTTAACAGAAAAATCCAGATCATCGACACTCCAGGCCTCTTTGATACATCTTTAAAAAACGAGACTGTCCAGAATGAAATTGTCAAATGTATTACCATGTCCTCACCTGGTCCACATGCATTTATTCTTGTTCTCAATATTGCTCGCTTCACAAAAGAGGAAGAAGAATCATTTCTGGCATTTGTGAAGCTATTTGGGGATCCAGTATATGAGTATTTTATCATTCTTTTCACAAGAAAAGATGACTTAGAGTTTGAGAAAAAATCCCTTGATGATTTTATATCGACTGCTCCTGCAAACCTTAAATTACTCATTGGAAATTGTGGTCACAGATGTGTTGCTTTTAATAATAGGGAAACTGATATTGAAAATGTCAATGAACAAGTGAATGTCCTTCTTCAACTTATTGATGATAACATATCCAAAAAATCGGTGAAATATTACACTGATGAAATGTTTCAAGAAGCTGAACGACATATGAAGGTCTTAGAAGAGGAAATCAAACAGAAGTTAGAGAAAATAAGACAAGAACAATATGAGATCTATAAAAAAGAAATAGGTGAAAAATTCGTGGAAAAAGAAAACAAAATGAAATCGCAATTAACTGAAATAGAGAATAAAATTTGTCTCACAAGAAGCAATATTCAGGAGAGGGAGCAACAAATTAACGATGTTTTAAACAAACTTTATGAGGAGAAGGCTGCAATAGAGGCTTATTTAGAAAAAATATCAAAGAACAGAAATAAAGAAATAAAAGAATTACAAGAGAAATCTGAAAAGCAAGAAAGAAAGGAAAATAACGACTTGCGGGAAGAAGCTGTTAACGTTATCTCCTCAGAGAAGACAAAGAGTAATGGATTTCAGAAAGTAAAGGATTTCTTTCAACAAGTATCAGGATATGTTCACAGTTTGAAATCCGAGAGCACTGGGTCATCCTGAAAGATGATAACGTTCTTCTTTAACATTTAATCTTAGAAATATTAAGCCTGTTTGAATCCTACTTTCCATGGTTTCACTGCTTCACTTTTATGTTATAAATCTTTTATTTTGATTTGAACAGTAATTAAATGATGTTATCTTTACCATATTTCTTAGAATAAACTCATTTTGTGTTTCTTTTTCTCGGTTTATGCTAAATAAAACCACAGGAAGAAAACGGCTTTTCACTGAAAATTTTAGGATGGCTATTATTGACTTTTCAGTGGTCATTCAATCACTAAATGGCACATAAAGGGTGTCCCAAAACATATTTTACACTTTTAAACCGTTATAAAAATGTTCAAGGTACATTAATGAAATTTAAATAATATATTAAAATTGTTATGATTTTTTTGTCAAGCATACATTTGTCAAAGTTTTCTTATTAATCATTACCATTTTTTTCTATAAAATTACACATGTCATTTAACAGCATGTTTCAAATGACTTCCCTTTGAATAAACATTGTTTGAATACGATTTTTAAAGTTTTCTTTTACCAAACTTTAAATTAACATTCTAACAGTTAAGAGGTTTTCCACATTAAAATTGGATTTTACCAAACAACAGAATTTAAGATTCACTTTAACAAAATTGTTAAAATGTAAGTGGGCTTTATCAGAAAACCATGCATCTGTAAATTTTCAGAGTCGGGTCTAATTCAGATCCAATGTGTAAACTCTAATCTACCTCGAATCAACCTCTAATTTCTGTCTCTTTCAAATGCTGCATTGCACTTATCTTGTAAGGAATCAAATTTAAATCAAATATTAGTATTTTATGAATACTAGATTTACCCAAGATGCTATTGTTAATGCCGGGCCCGTCTAATGGTTTTTGTAAAGTAACAAAAACTCTATCAATGGTACTGATGTCCTTTTTAGTACGAGCACTCCATGGTCCTCTAGTACCTTATGTGTTGTGTATGGTGCCTTTACCTTCACAACCTATACATTAGTATTCTGTTGAGCATTTTCATCACAGGATGTTGTTTTCTCATGGTTCTAATGACTAAAGTAGCAAATTTAGACCTAAAGTAGAGTTTTACAATTTCTTACAGCTGTTCACACGAAGGTTCCATATTAAAAGAAATAGTATGACGTCATTCGGACATTATAATTGCCTGACTTCTAAACAGAATTTCCCGAACGTTTGTCAGATAAATTGTATACTAATACACTAGATGTTGACAAAATGTCTTTGTGATAGCTTTTGGTTTGATAAAGTTATAGATAATTAGAAGTGTAACATATGTTTTGGGACACCCTGTATATTTCAACGATATTTTCAGTTATTTTTCAGCCAGAACTCAGGTACCTTTCAGTAACCATTTGGCAGACATTCAGTTGTCTTTTATGACCTTTTCGCTGACTTTCATTATCCTTTTTGAGACTTTTCCATCGCCTTTCAGCAACCCCTCAATCATAATTCACAGATGTTTACTAGACTTTTTACTATTTATCAGTGATTATTCCTGCTTTTGCTTAACGAAGCATAGTTATCTGCACAAATTGACATTGATATGATACCAAAAAATATTGTTATTTAAGAAAGGAAAATACGAGATCTTAGAAATTCTTAGGGAGAAACACAAGCAACCATTACAAATAAATACTAATTTACAGTTAGAGTTAGGGTTAGGGATTACGATGAGGGTATAGGCATTTTAATGTGATGCTGATGTGGGAATACTAATACGTAATTCTGCCCATATATCACGTGACTGTCAATCATTTTATTGTAAAAGTATCTGCTTATATGCTGGTTTTCTTTCGAACAGGATTTTTTAGACACTATACATAGCTAGTGTCTTGTGCTGTCTGTGATGTAATAGTAATATTTCAGTTGTTACTTTTTGACGACTTTATCTTTTTCCCCACAGTAAACTTGCGACTACGTACAAAAATACTTGGTTTTGAAGATGAATATTTTATTTACACGGTGTATGTAGCCAAAGTTGCCGTATATATCGCCATAATATTCATGCGGACAATGAAAGTCTATTTGTGAAATTAAATAATTATAATAAATTACTTGTAAGTTAATAATACATGCATATTAAGTTTGTAGCAAAGTTTGCCGTATACATTGCCACAATATCCATGCAACTACTGTTCACGGTAGCTCAGTCGGTAGAGCGGAGGTCGTGAGTTCATATCTCGGCTGCGACTGACCTAGTCGTTAAAATGGGTAGCAAGTGTTCCTTCGCCATGCCCTCGGCACTTTGAAGTGAAAGTTGCGGGTCCTTCCGATGAGACCTTAAAAACCGAGGCCCCGTGTCAGCGGCAGGCGTTGGCACGATAAAGATCCCTCACTGCTCAATGGCCCTGAGTGCCGAGTAAAGGTCAACATTTGAACCTTCACCTGAATACTGTGACGTCTCCATATGAGTGAAAAATTCTCGAGAGGGACGTTTAACAACATACAATCAATCCATGCAACTACCTGTAAGTTGATTTTTAAGTATTTTTAATCGCAGCACAGTTAAGGTGCGCAATGGAAATATCAACAAAATTTTGTATTTAAAAATGTATTCGTAATCGGGATGGCGATTATTTTTAGTACATTATTTATATCAGATAATTGTAATTATGATTAATAACTACATATCGAGGACGATTATATTTTATATTTAGACTAGTCACGTGATGCGACAGTCACGCGATTTTAGCACATTGACTTGAAGTATTGATGTTACATATAAATGTCACTAGTGCAAGGGCATAACCAAGATAAATTTCCAAGTTTAGTATATAAATATTTTCAACACGCATTATAGTTTCTAAAAAGTGCTGCGATCCTGTCTAAATTCTGCAATTTAATTGTTAAAGTTATACTTGTATGACCGAATGCTATATTTTTTGCTGGACAGCGGCATGAAATATTGATATAATTAAATTGTTTTTAAGATTTCATCAGGATCGCAGCACTTTTCAGATATCTTTAATAGTTCTATATTTGAAATGTAAAAGCTTACTTTGATCTATAGAGTGTATGCCCTTGCACTAGATCGATTTATTAAGACACCCACATTACCCTCCGATGTACTTGCATACAGATATACGGCAGTGTCAATTAAATACGTAAAGTACAGAAAATATATTAATAAAATAGTGAAGAAGATATTAAATTCAAGTTATTGCCCCATAGAATATATGTAAATAATATTTTATTTAATTAGAGAATACATATTTTGTTGAGAAAATATTACTTGATCTGTCTCTCACTGCATACAAACTACGTCACGTTGTAAGAAATGACGTCATATTGACAAGTGTATTGCGATCAGTGACTTGTTTATAACTTGATATGTGGGATTTAACTAACGACAAAACAACACACTGTAGTAAGTTTTTATGTAGTTTGATGATTTCATACTGGTTAAATTAGCAGATAAACTCATTTTGTGGTATTTTAAAGAAATGTTGTATGACGTATATTATGTGTGATGTCATAGTCAAGTTTTCCCGTACAAATTAGGCTCCGCCTCCTTTTTGTAACCTTAACTGTGCTGCGATCATGATTAAATCCTGTTTATTTTGTTTGAATAATTTTTTCATCCGGACTGTTTCAAACTTAATACATTATCAAAGCTTACAAGAAATTTATTATGAATTTTAAATATACATTTAAGACATCGTTTAAATGATTGTTTGATTTTCCAGGCAGGGTTTCATTTTAATGCTCGAATTTAAGTGAGAGACAACGACACTTGCCCCCTTCCTTTCATTTCATCGGTCCATAAATAATCTAAACCGCAAGATTTTTCAAACAGTTATTGAACAAATTTATTCTATAACATGATGAATTTTATGAACATGTGGCGTCGATGTAGACGAAAGCCTGTCCACTTCTATAAAGAGAATTACGTATACGTATTTATATATATTTAACTAAAGAATCATAAATGGCGTGGGCTATTTAAGGCCCCAATTCAGAAAATGTTTATCTTTACTATGGAGACGCATAAGGCAAGAGTGTTACTAAAAATGTAATTCTATTTGATTACATATTTCGTTGCAATGGAATCCGTCGTCAAAAACACATACACATTCAGACCTCGTAATCTTGCATAAAATGCCATCCATTGTCATTAACCAGCTATATTGTCTTTAGTTATTGATTGTATGTATACTTACGGATATGTCAAAGTGACTGTTTTACGAAGAAAATATGTTTTTAATTTAATATGTATTCCTTCACCATGTAAACTGTCTTAAAACTTATTCCTTCATATCTGAAATCATGACTTTCATTAACAATGAAGAAATCTTTACTTTTGGTAGCATCTATAAAATCCTTAATAATGATTTGTATTTATATTTTTGGATATCCTAAGGTTATTCTTTTACGAAGAAATTTATTTAAATTGTTAGATAATTCCCTTGCCATGGCAAATATTTTGCAAACATATTCCTTCAGAACAGCTTTTGTTGTTATCAACCAAGGAAAAACAATCATTGATTTTTTATACAATTTCTTCCGATATTTTTAGGAAATCGAAAATATAAACATTTTGACAAAAACTTTGCTTTGAGGGACGTGGTTGTTGACAGGAATTAACTTGTCTGTCTGACCATAA